TTTTTCTGTCTAAACTTGCATGGGATTGTTCTTTTGTTTAAGTAAATGCTTAATCCACTTGCTGAGCTAAGCTTCAATATGAGGGCATTTTATATTGTGTAGCACTGTGTTAACTGTGTGTGTATATGCAGTGTGGGCACACTGCCCTTGTACAAGTAAGGTAGGGAATGGTCTCAGTGATCTTAATATATGTAATAACAATTATATCTGCTTTCCTTTCATTTTAAACTTTAGAGACAAGGTTATAACCCCTATGGGAGTGCGACCAGATGGCACAATGACTCCTTTGGAAGAAGTAGTGGGCCAGCACCCCACCAATGACCAAGAAAGTTCAGATTCTGATTAGAGCATCAACTGCTTCAGTCTCTCACCCACCTTTCCTTACACTCACATCTTTTATTATCTACATATTAGACCCTTCACATTAACCCAGTGTTGTAACAACTGTTTTTTTTAATCAAAATGTTTAAATTATTCATTATGTGGTGTAATTATAATAGCATTTCCAAGACCTCAATTTATATAGCAAGAAAACCCCAGTTTATTAACTGTATGGTAATTGTGTATCCGTGGGATGAAAAGTGTGGTTGAATTTTTAAAAGGATTCAAATATTAATATTTCTCAATAGTTCTCTTTAAAAAACCTGCCTGATTTCAGTCCTCTAGCTTAAGGAACTAGAACGTCTCATTAAATAAAAAATAAAAAATGGAATCCTAAAAACTCAAAACTGTCATGTTAACTTAAAGAAGCTACCCAGCAGATGCATTTATTTAATATCCCCCTTTTTGCATTATTCTTTATTATCTTAATTAAGCTCTCTCCAAAGGACTACTGAATCTTGTTAAACCAATCAGTTTTTACCACTAAATTACAAATGGGATTTTAGTGTTTCTGTACTAAAGCTCCTGATCTACCCAGTATCTATCTTGTCAGAATACTTTTCTTTGTTCTCAGATCTAGCTTTCTAGAACAGGTTTATATCCAATAACTGCAGGTGGGTTATCTACATAGCCTATCTTAGGGAGTCATGGTATAACCACTAACACCCCAGCCCTTACCACAATCCTGACCCCATCGTGCCTGGCTGGCCTAAAAACTGAGGTTGGCCACAGCCGATAGAGTGGAGGGTTGGGCATGAGCCTTGTGAAACATCCTTCTTCTGCCACTTAGTAGCAGTGTTTTGTTTTTTTTAGGGATATGTATGGAAGTAGGCTCTAATGCATGAAAAAATGGAGGGTAAGTTGTCTTGAATTATGTGGCTTATATGGAAGAACTAACTGTGTATTAAATGTCCAGAAGTGGAGGGTATGTTGCATTCTATCAATAAAACTTTATATACAATTATGTAGCATTCTGATTTTTTAAAAACTCAATTGATAAAATGATAGCTGTTCTCTATCTGGAGCTTCCTATGGTCTTAACACTGATAAGTTTTATGCAGAAACATGGCTAGGATAGTACAGGCCTACCTTTGAGATGCACTCATAGGCGGTCGCCATTTGTATGAGCTATTGCTACAGTAGGTAGAACATCTATGCATGTATAAAAATCGGATCAGCTTGGAAAATGTACGCATGCATTGTGAAACAACTGGATATTTTTATTTATTTATTTATTTATTTATTTTTATTTATTTATTTAAAACATTTCTATGCTGCCCCCATCGCAACAAAGCCTCGGGGCAGCTCACAACTTAATTAAAATATATAAATAACAGTAAGTATATTAAAATTCATTAAAAACTTGGTAACATCTCGGCATAAAATTTAAAATCCTAAAAATACACAATAAATTAACAATTAAAATAAGTTTTAAATAAAAAGGTCGTAGCCTGGCGCCGAAAAACAAATAACGACGGCGCCAGGCGGACCTCTCTGGGGAGGTCCATCACATTTAAAACTCGGGTGGCTTTTCAAACCCCTTAAAGCACTGTTTTCCATTTTAAGAAGAGTTATTCATAGGTGCTATTGCATCTCTCCATGTGCTCTATTTGTAAAGAGTCTATTTTTTGTTCAAAACTATTAACACCTATTTGGCAATGGATCTGTTTTCTAGGGTTGCATAGTAATTACTCTTTTTCCTTGTTCCACTTACTTTCCCACTTCTTCCCCTAGCACTTTTTTTCCCTAGTACAGTGATATAGCAGAACTTGCCTTAACTAAGGGGACTGGGAGATGCAAATCATTAGGGCTTTGTGTATTTGTGAACTTACTTGAGGCGTTCCTATTCTTTCATAATATTTTTTTGGTTTCAGAGCAGCTCAAAGATGGTATCTTGAACCAGGGCTATCTTAACTCACCCATATGGGAAGGGGTAGCTTGAAAGGTAATTGTTGCAGTTGAAGCCTGTTTTAAATTGGAAATTAAACAAGAATAATGGGATCTTATCTTGTTTCTTGACATTGGTTTCCTTGGTATTTTTTGAAAGATACTACAAGAGCAAGCTCAAGGGATCCCATTATAACTTGGATGTGTGTATTTTAGCCTAATTCATATGCCCAACTGCAAGAGTTCTACTTAGTACCAAACAGTTTAGGACACAATATTATGTATGTTTAGACAGGAAAAAGACCTAAGGGGCATGCTGGAAGTTGTGGGCCTATTTTTCTATCCAAACATGCTTAGGATGGTGCCCTTAGTCACTACTTCCCCTTTGGAGAAGAATCACTGACCATGAATTACATGGTTAATATCTACAATGGTTTTAAGGTAAGACATGGTCTCTTTTTTCAGTAGAGCAAACACTACCATATTAATTGCATTTTATTCAACAAGAGCAAAGTAAACTCTGTAGAGTATACGGGTTTCTAAATGAGAATTCCATTGGATTCTCTCAACACAAAACAGCTAATGAAATCCTGAACTTTAATAAGGCAGGCTGTAAAAAGACCATTCTGCTCTTGAAAAACCAGACTTTACAAATCTTTACAACAAGTTAAACAGTCACTGTCTTTTCTAATGCACCTGTGTAAAAAAAAGAAAAAGTATGTCAGTATTGTGTACAATTTGTGAAGTGAACATTGTTGTTGGAATCAGATTTGAGAGTCATATGAAAAGAGCATTTGAGCATCAAAACTATGCTATGCTTGGCTCAGCAAGCAAGTCATTCTTCTAAAATGACTTTGTTTTTTACATGGCAGTACTTGTATTTCTTTTGCCACTCAGGCAAACAGAGGGAGAGGCATTTCAGTGGCAAAAAATGCACTTTGCTGACAGAAGGGCCCAGGTGTAATCCTGGCATTTCCAGGTAGAGCTGAACAAGAGCCCTGTCTGAGATCCCACAGACCAATTGCTGGCTGCTGCAATGCTAAGCTAGATGGGACCAGTTATCTAAAACAATATAAAGCAGTTTCTATCTTGTAATTATTAACCCTTCCTATTTGTGTTTAACCTTCACCTGCTCTTCATTGCTATGGAGGGGAATTAAATACCTAATCATGTTTTCCTTTCTCCTCTCTCAATAAAAACAACTTGTATTCTTTTGCTAACTTTATTTTCATTATTTTCATTATAAGAGGTGTGTGTGCATGTGTATGTATTCCATGAAACAATTCCATTTTTCCCCACAAGCTTCCACTACTGGAGTCTGGATGTTTACCGTCCTAGATGGCAATTTTTGGCTGTCTAGATAAAGCAGCGCAGGGGAGAGGTAGAAGGCTGGGACGCTGAAAGGAATTGACATAAATTCTTGGTCCCAGCCTCTTCCTGTCCCTGCATCCCCAGCATGCTCCTTTCTCTCCCCTCTGAGGTGCAGTTGTGACTTCTGGAGATGGAGCCAAAATGGGAGGGCAAAGGCTCAGCTTCTGGAATCTCAAATAGGAATCTGGAATAGTCCTGTGGCCTCCAAATACTCCTATGGCCTCCCAGAAAATGTCTCTTGAACTCCAAGAGACAACAATAAAGCATTTCATATTATGAGCAAGAGGAGATACACATTAGGAATGATCACAGCTGCACACTGAATAACAAGCTTGATGTGTCACTTAAATAGAAAGTCTGCCATAAAAATTAAAGAAATTCTACTAATATTAAAATGATTTTAAATGCAATATTTTGGCAAGAAGAGAGACACATCTGAAATGATCACAGTTAACATACAAATCACAAGTTTGATGTGTCACTATTAAAAAATCAGCTTTAAAAATTAGAGAACTTCCAGTAATCATAGGGAAAATGGTTTCAAATGCAATATTGTTTGAAATATTAAAATAATATTGTAATGGGAGACACATGTCTGAAAAGGGGACACAAATCTGAAATGACCACAGCTGGACATTGACTCAGAGGTTTCTTGTCTCACTTAAGAATTCCAGCTTTTAAACTTGAGAGAATTTCAAGCACTCACATTAGGGAATAAACTAAAAATGCAAGAATTTGGTGTGTGCACTAAAGTTTAGAGCCAGCAGAGTCTGAGCAAATCGAAGATCTTAGATCCAACCCATGGTTGTCATATATGTTATCACCTATTCAAAATAGCAGCTGCAGGATCTAGAATTCTTTATGTATTTATTAAATATTCCATCCTTCACCAAAAAGTTACAAGTTAACAAGATACAGATTAAAAATGATCTCTTAATAAAAACATAACCTAAATAAAACACAATTGAAAACACAACAATGAAAGAAATTAACAGCACCAATAAAACTTATTGGTTGCCAACTTAATGGCAATCAATGAATTAATATGATGAAGGCCTGAAAGAGCAAACATGTCTTTACTGCCAGCAAAAGGAACCCAGCCTCAACCAGCAAAGAGTTCCACAGCCAAGGAGCAGCCACCAAGAAAGCTCTCTCTCGTGTGCCCACCAGAAATGCATCACATTGTGGTGGGGCCCAGAGAAAAGCCGCTTCCAAAGATGTTAAGGCTCATGGGAAAATACAGCCTTTCAGATAGACTGGTTCCAAACTTTATAATGCTATGGCACCAGCACATCCATGTGTATGCATTTATAGGCATGTGCACTTGCATCCAGTTCCATTCTGAGATAAAAGCCACAGTCCTATCATGTTCTTCTAGGACTCAATTCTCCTGAACTTAATAGGACTTCTAGTAAACATGCATAGATTGTGATGTTAACTTCTAGACATTCTAAGGACCAAGGAGAACCCTCAAGAATGTCAACCCTAATAATTCACACTAACCATTTAACAAGGCATCACTAAAAGGGGATATAGGGACAATGATTTCTCAGGCTTGTGTAACAGAATTATCGACTTCCCCTAGTAAATGGGGACAGCTGGAGCGTATGCTTTCCTACAAGATTTGCTAACAACTTTAAGGGCAATTTGTATTTTGTTCTACAAAGCAGAAACAGCATTCTTTGCTTTAACCAGTCTTTAACTCCTAACTGGAAACTAATGGCTTGCTCATTTCTGGTTGTGTCAGGCACACATTGTGAGATGAAATGAGCTTGAACAGAGCCAAGCAAACCCAGAACATCTTACTGAACATACAACTCACTTGTGTGTTTTTTTCCTTTACTGTTTAACATATTAGCAAGCCCGATTATTGTTTTGTCCCGTTTCCATTCTTTAAGAACTAATATCTGACTAAGCCTTTCTCAAGCTCTTAACTCTTCCTTTCCTTGATTATGACCAAATGACCTATATTTAAGAAGCATTTACAATTAAATTATAGCCCTCTTTTTTGTGCTCCTGAGTTTCCCAGTGAAAAGCTAAAATGTTTTAAAATTGTCACTTTTTGACAGAGGTAATGGCTGTAATATATTTAGTCCCTTCTCCTTGTTGTGCTTAGAATGACTATGCTAATAAAGGGCACAGCTGTAGATTCTTTATGGCCTGCTTTTGTTGGGGGGGATGGGGGGGGAGCCCAGATTGACTCTGTGTGTCAACAAATGCAGCTGGGAAAGAAAAAAAAAGAAGCCCCTTGAAGGCCTCTGCAACTTAAAGTCTAAGATAAATGATGTTCCCATTTTAAAAAAAAGAGAAAGAAAAGGAAAATGGAGTTTGGAATTCAATAAAAGGGAGGCTGGGGGGGAGGGGGAGGGAGAATTGCTTAAAACTAAAGCCTTTCTCCCCATGCAGACAGCTTACAAGAGAAATGAGCAAAGCTGAACACAGAAGGGAGGGGAACAGCTCAGAAAGAAAACAAAGGCCTATCCTGGAAAATATATTACGGTACCAAATTATCTGGAGTGAGGGCTGGAGAGAAAACAGTTTAAATGGTGATACAATGGCCAACCTGCAAGGGAGGGTGAGGAAGCTTTGTTTATTTCGGAACCAAGGTCAAAAAGAATCAATACTTCTAATCACGAGAATGTCATTCTAAACAGTAAAAGTAGACTATGGAGTCCATTCAGCTCTGGTCCTGAGCATGTGCGC